CCCCCCCTCCTCCCCGCAGGCCCTGCCCTCCTCCCTGCAGGTGCACCTCAGGCAGGTTGAACCTCAGGTGGTTGCACATGATGTTGAATCGCTGCTGCGACGCTACACCTTCCACGTAGCGCGCCAGGAAGAACCAGGGGTAGCCGAGGTGGACGTGCCGGCCAGCGGGCAGAGCCACGGAGAGGTTGTGGGTCTCCGCGAAGCGGTAGAGGATGTTGAGCACCGTGCTGCTGGCCGTTTTGTGCGTCTTCAGGAACATGATGTTGGTGACGGGCGGCCCCTTGGCCTGACCGCCAAACAGGCTGGGAGGGAGGGCACACGCCACGTCAGCAAGGGTGCAGATGCCCCGACCCATGCCCAACAGCGACCCCTGGCCCGACAGACCCAAAGAGAGACCTTCCAACCTGAGCCCCCAGCTCTGGGCTGGGGGCCCACTGGGTAAGCACCAACCCATGGCCCCAACCCTTGCCCCACTCCACAGCCTCCCATCCGGTGGCCTGAACACACACTCCCCCAGCTGTCTCCCATAACCATGCTTTCCCCAACCCTGTGCCCCTGAGAACTAAAACCCCTAACGCTCCCCGAATTGACTAAAGAACCCCCTATTGGCCAAGGGGGCCCCAGGCACACCTTAAAACTGAGCCCCCAGCAGTGATGGGATGGGAGGTCAGACACCTCACTCATCACAGCCCCTCCCCTCTGCGGTTTAGACACAGCAACTGCCCAGCGTGAATGTTAAAACAGAGACATCATGGAATACTATGCTGCCAAAAAAAGGATGAGTTCGTGTCCTTTGCAGGGACATGGATGACGCTGGAAACCATCATCCTCTGCAAACAAACACAGGAACAGAAAACCAAACACTGTGTGTTCTCACTCATAATTGGGAATTGAACAAGAATACATGGACACACGGAGGGGAACCGCACACACTGGGGCCTGTCAGGGGAGGTGTGGAAAGGGGAGGGAGAGCATTAGGACAAACACCTAATACATGCAGGGCTTAAAACCTAGATGACGGGTTGATGGGTGCAACAAATCACCATGTATACGTATGTAACAAACCTGCACGTTCCGCACATGTGTCCCAGAACTTAAAGTAAAATTTTAAAAAAGATTTTTTTTTTTTTTTTTTTTTTTTTTTTTTTTTCACAAAAAGAGACCATAGCCTGGCAGAACCGACTGTGGCCCTAAGACACCAAATCCTCAGCAGGACCCAAGGCCACGCAGGCAGGGGCTTCGTCCCACACACCGCACTTAACGCAGAAACCAGATTCTCCCTGCCACAGGGTTCTCTTTTTCTCTGGCAGCCAAACACTGGCCTTGAGATGAGCAATGTGAACCCAGGTGCAGCTCAGCCCCTGCCAGACGCGCCTCACTGACCCCTGCTCCACTGGCCACAACCGCAGCTGCACTGGGACAGGAGCTGAACAGCAGCTGTCTCCTGAGCGAGGACCCCTGGCCCGGCCTGGTTCTGGCGGTTTAGAGGCTGCACATCGAGGGCCTCCCGTCCCGGCTTCACCTGTGACCTGCAGGGCCTCATTGTAACACGGTTAGATGTGAATTCTCCACCCCAAGGTGAATGTGGGTCACATGTACCATACCAGTTTGTTCGGGGCAAGTGTGTCAGGACAGTTTTGTGAATATTCGTGGCGCCTCCTGTCACCTGCTGAACATGTACTTGGCCAAGCTGTTCAGAGTAAGCCTCTGTCCCATCCACCCCACCCCTGTGAAGTATCCACTCACAGTCTGTGTCAGCAGCTGTGCTCCTAGCCTGTGGTATGCCTGGACTTTATAAGAAACAAAGTCTCCTCTCCAAATTTATAGATGTCACGATTCTTTAGTTGACATCCCCAACCCTGGAATCCAAACCCATACTACCTATCACTGTGTCCCCAGCCCGGAGACCCTCAACCCCGGCCTTGGGGACCCCCACTGAGAGAGCATCCCCAGACCCATCACTGTGCCCCCAACCTAGTAGAGCCCCTCAGCCCCGGCCTTGGGGACCCCCACTGAGACAGCGTCCCCAGACCCATCACTGTGCCCCCAACCTAGAGACCCTCAGCCCCGACCTCAGAGCCCCCATAGAGACAGTGTCCCCAGACCCATCAGTGTGTCCCCAACCTAGAGACCCTTAGCCCCTGCGTCGGGGGTCCCCATAGAGACAGTACCCCCAGACCCATCACTGTGTCCCTCAGGAGCTACACCATCTGCCCCACATGTCACCCCAGCCTTCTCCCTGGCTTCAGGGTGCCGGCATGCTGCTGGCTCTGTGACCTCAGCCACACATGCAGTGCTTCTTGGCTGTCCCTTCACACCAGGAAAAGGAAGGACTCCAAAGCTGAGACCAGCAGCCAGATGTGGGGCTGGAGTGGATGCTGGGCCCACTCCTGGGACCCTATCATGACACCCACCCAGTGGGCCTGGAGTAGCAGGTGCCCTCCCTGCTCCGGAGCAGGGCGGGCAGGAGTGACCAGGATGGTGGGGTCAGGGTGGCCCAGGGTGACAGAGGTGGGCAAAGACAGGGGCCTTGGGACCTGTCTCCGGCAGCTTGGCCCAGAGGGTGTTGGTGCTCCCCTCCCTCCTCCAACCAGAGGGGCTGGGGAATGGTGGGGCCTGGAAGACCCCCCAGCAGCCTGGCTGAAGCCCTGGCCTGGAGGCACAGCTGGGCTGCAAGGTGGACACAGGTGGGTGGGCACAGGTGAGGCGGGCATGGGTAACTGGGCACTGGTGAGGTCGGCACAGGTGAGGGGCATGGGCAAGGTGGGCATGGGTGAGGTGGGCACAGGTGAGGTGGGCACAGGTGAGGTGGGCACAAGTGGGGTGGGCACGGGTGAGGTAGGCACAGGGTACAGGTGGCCACCTCTGTGCACCAGGGGCCCCACAGAGGCTGTGTCTCGGGCAGGTCGGGGAGAGGGTCTCCAGGCGGGCCCAGGGCTGCACTGTCTCACCTGAGCATGGGTCTGACCTTTTCCTTCCCAGATCCAAACCTAGGCCCAGCCCAGGCCCACCTCTGCTGTGAGGAGCAAGAAGGTGGCCTCCAGCCCTGCCTCCCGCACCTTGGTACCCTCTGCACACACTGGCTCTGCCCCCAAACCCCTGCTCCCCAGAGCCCTCCCCACAGGCCAGGTGGATTCGTGGTTCACAGGAGACGCTCATGGGTCTCCCAAGGAAGGGCCCATCCACCCCTCCTCTTCCAGAAGGGTGCAGGCCCGGTGGGAAGGCGCGACCGTGCTGGGGTCCCCGGCTCTGCCCTCTGGGCTGTTGAGGGCCCAGGGCAGGACTTACGGTATGAGCAGCTCCAAGTCTGTGTGCAGGAATCCAGCCAGCAGGAGCAGTATCAGGGCGACGAGGAGGAGGATGACCCGGAAGTACCTGTGGGTGGGGCACGCTGTGAGTGCCCAGGCCGGGCTGCACCAGTCCCACCCCTACCTCCCATCCCAGGTCACACAGGTTTGGGCCTCCCCTCATCTCTGTAACGTCTTGTCCTGAAACTCACTGGGTGCCCGCCCGGGGGTGGGGGGGTGACCTGGAACAGGCATGAATCTGACTCCACCTTGAACACCCTGCCCGGCTCACGGCAGGAAAGAGCCTCGTGGATGACCCATCCCCTTCCCTGGGGTTTGCAAGCTGCCAGAGCCACACTACTGGGACCAGAGGTGGGAGCGGGTCAGGGGACCTCTGACTCCTCAGGGCCCCCTGGGAGACTGTGATGGGATGGAGACCCTGAGCTCAGCACCCCCAGGGGGGCTGGAGAGGCTGAGAGGTTGGTGCAATGGACTGTGTGCCCCCAAAAGCCATAGGCCAAGCCCCTAACACCCAGCATGATGGTGCCTGGGGGTGAGGCCTCTGGGACATGGCCAGGGCTGGAGAAGGTTGTGAGGGAGGGTGGAGTCCCTGTAAGGGGAGTCATGTCCTTGTAAGAAGAGGAAGAGACCAGAGAGTGGCTTCCTCTCCCCACTCTGGCTCCCCACATGGGGGCACAGCGAGAAGGCGGTGTCCGCAGGCCCAGAGGAGGCCCGCCCCAGGAACCCACCCCACTGGCTCAGACTCCCACCCGCCGGCCTCTGGAACCGTGAGAAGCACACGTCTGCCGCTGAAGCCACCGTCTGTGGTGTCTGCTGTGGCAGCTGGGATGACTGAGCCCAGGGCCAGCATGATGTCTCGACAGAGGTGGGGCCCTCACAAGGAGGCCTCAGAAGGCCTGGCCTGGGTCCTAGGAACCTGGCAGGTGCAGCCAGATCAGGGAAGAGCAGATCTGGATGAGGCCTGCCCTGGGAGTCGGGTGGGGAGCCAGGGTCCCCCATCCTCTGGGCAAAGCCCCTCATCAGTAGAGAGCACCAAAGGGGTCCCTCAATGATGGATTGGGGGCGCCACATGGGCTGTGTCTCCTCAATGATGAGGTGGGGGTGCCATGTGGACTATGCCCCCTCGATGGGGTGGGGGGTGCCACTTGGGGCCAGCTCAGGGCCACCAACAGCCCAGCTCCCCATGGGAACCACCCAGTAAGCATCTATCCCTGGCACCCAACCGCTGGTAAGGGCCACTCTGTTTCCCAGCCCCACCTGCTGTCCGACCCCGCCCACTGGCCCTGCTCCATGCCTCCCCTCTCAGACAAGACCAGAGCTGGCCGTGCACCCCTCGGCCATCAGGGAGAGAGCAGTGGGATGTGGGGAGGTGGGTGTGCTGGGCTCCACTCATGACAGTGGAATAATTAACTCTGGATGAGACAAATCTGTCTTCTGCAGAAGCAGACCGAGCAGGGCCCTGATTTGTGGTGACACATCCGTGGCCGGCCCAGGGAGGGCTCCTGCCCTGGTCCTTGGCAGCTTCCCTGCTGACCAGGATGCTCCGAGCCTGCTTTGCACGTTTCCTGGCCCAGGCCTGGAGTGAGCCACGTTTCCAAAGGGCCCTGGGTCCCGCTGGTAGGAAGCGGCCTTTGGGAATCAGTCTGGGTGCTGGGGTGCTCACTGCCCAGAGAAGGCCACATGTCTGGGCCTTCTCCGTAGTCAGAGCTCAGAGCTACACGTCGGAAGACAGAACCCTCACGAGTCCACACCAGGAACCTCCAGCTCCAGTTCAACACTGCAGCTTTCAGCAGAACCTCTGTGTGTGACCTCTTGTCTCCTTTCTTCCACATCAAGGGTCTGGGTCTCAAAGACACTGGAGATGGCAGAACTAGGACCTCCTGTATTTCTCACCTGCTTCAGGCTCACGGCACACCCAGCACCTCAGATACCAATGCCAGCTCCCACCATGGCGCTCCCACAGCCACGCCTGTAGGCCCTGCAGACGGCACAGGAGTTTCCCCGCCCTCCGTTCACCTTCGCCCTACAATGCTCTTCAATGCCCCCTCCAGTCCTTACGGCAAAATGGGAACCACCTCGGAGAGGCTCCCAGTGGCCAACGCCCAGTAAATGTTAGAATCCCAGGTGCAGGGAGGCGAGTGGAGGGGCGGACAAGCAGAGAGGGCCACGCCCCCCCGCAGGGTCAGGGTCCCATGGGAGACAGACATCCTCGGGAGAAGGGACATGTTTCCCATACCCAAACGTGGCCCCACACGGAGTGGGGTTCCTGCCCTGCCGTTGAACCACTTCTGTGGACTTGCCAAGACCCTCCCAGGGAAAGCGACTGCACCGGGGTGGGAAGGGCAGTTTTACAGCTCCGCATAGTTAGAGTTTAACCCACTGATAAGCCCACACAGGACTTCACCAGCCTGGCCTCTGAGACGCCTCCGCTGGCCATCCCTTCGTTCCGCCGTATTAAACTCCTTCCTCAAACACTCTGCAGTTTTATGGCCCCTCATGCACTTTTATACCCACTCTGCACTTTTATGGGACACACTGGCCATCTGTTAGAGGCGTTGCGTTCTCACTTAATAACTGCCTCAGCCTTGGGGCGGCATGAACCTGTCTCTGTTCTCTGCAGCTGCCCAATTAAAACAATGATGTTTCCAAAATCTCACAGCTTTCTCAAGGCCGCTCTTCCCCGTCAACAGGGGTCAGGTAGGGTGGTCAGTGTTGGAGCAACCGGGAAGGGGGTGACCTGGGGGCCCCAGAGGTGAGCCCAGCCACAGGAGCACTTGACCGACCCAGAGGACCGTGGGGCAGGAAGTGGGTGATGTGTTCAGCCAAGCAGAGAGATGAGGCTTCTGTCCTTATACCCAGGAGTTCACAATGTCACACTCTCCTTTAAGGAGAGCCTGTGGCTGCACTACGGTGAACTTACCAAAAACCACTGAACTGTGCACTTTAATTGGGTAAGTTCTTTGGTATGTGAATTGCATCTCAATAAGGCTGTTTACAAAATCAATTAAAAAATGATAAAGAGTTCAGCTGCTGCAAAATTTGAAAGCCGAGGCTTGCAGGGGAGGGAAATGAAATATTGCTAAAATGATAAACCATCTGACATTGCTTTCAAGTGTTTTTAGCTTCTAGTGGCTTCCTGAGGTCCCCAGGACCCTCCCCTCAAGCTGAAGCTGCCTTATGGGACTTGCGACTGTGGGGCCTGTGGCCAGGTCCCGCTGCCTTTGCTCCGAGGTTGCTGGAGAGCTCAGTGGATCCCAAAGAGCCTCAAACTTCCTGCTGTTGCAGCCTCGGGGCTTGGAGGCCTGCTGCCTCCTTGGAGCACCCAGAAGGTCTGGTTTTCCAACTCCGGGCAGGGCCATGAGGGGCCATGGTGCACAGGCCCCAGCAAGTGGCTCCAGCAAGTCCCTGAGGCTCCCCAAAAGAAAGAGCAGAGAGGCTGGGGAGGCACTGGCCCAGATCCAGTGGGGACAGCGGGGACAGCCCGAGGCGCCAGCCCAGGGCCTGCAAGCACACCCAGTGAGTGACCTGTCAGTGCCAGCAGGATGGCAGTTTGCAGGGTATTCAGGGAGAATCCTGCAACTTCTGAGTAAAAACCAACAGAATATCTAAAATTAGGGGGTAATAAAAGTCTTGGCCAGATGTAGTGGCTCACACCTGTAATCCCAGCACTTTGGGGTCTAAGGTGGCAGGATCAGTTGAGTCAAGGAGTTCAAGACCAGCCTAGGGAATACAGTGAGACCCCCATCTCTATGAAAAACACAAGCATTAGCCAGGTGTGGGGGCTGGAGACTGTGGTTCCAGCTACTCGAGAGGCTGAAGCAGGAGGGTCACCTGGGCCAGGCAGGTCGCCTGGGCCAGGCAGGTCGCCTGAGCCAGGCAGGTCTGGGCTGCGGTGAGCCTTATCTCACCACCGCACTCCAGCCCAGCGACAGAGCCAGACTGTCTCAAAAAGTAAACAAACGACAACAACAAACGCCTTAAGACATCCCGTCTCCAGCTCAGGGAACTTCCGGTTTGGGAAACCTTTATGACTATGAGGAAAACCCATGGGAATTCTTATGGTGATGGTTTGTTTGCACCCAGGATTAGACAAACAAATGTAAGAGGATGTCTTCCTCTCACATTTCACCCCATTTTCTTTTTCACATCTTTTGGAGAAAGCATTTTAGAAGAAAACGCATCTGTGGTCCCAGGTTTTGTCTGACCTCTCATGACTAGGATGGTTCACTCCTAGATGGACAGGTCCTGAGTTATCAGGAAAGCTCATTTTTAGCAGGTTGTGAAGTCTCATGTCCTATGAAGAGAAATAGGGGACGGAAGAAAGAAAAACAACAACAAACCAAAGAACAATCCTGGAAAAATCGATATAGGCCACATACTCTGAGGCCCATACGTCGGCAGGCAGGCATGAAAGTGGCTTATGTGTGTAAACAGGCTGCTGATATTTTCTTCTCAGGTTTAAGTTGTCTGGCTTCAATTCGCAGGGCTTTATGAAAGCACAGCTTAGGTTTCAAATTAGGAAAAATGGGGGCGGGGTGGGTGCGGCAACTGATACCTGTAACCCCGGCACATTGGGAGGCCCAGGCAGTGGATCACCTGAGGTCAGAAGTTTGAGACCAGCCTGGCCAACATGGTGAAACCCTATCTCTACTAAAATAATAAAAGTACAAAAATTAGCTGGGTGTGGGAGCAGGTGCCTGTAATCCCAGCTACTCGGGAGGCTGACACAGGAGAATTGCTTGAATCCAGGAAGTAGAGATTGCAGTGAGCTGAGATCACTCCACTGCACTCCCGCCTGGGCGACAAAAGTGAAACTCCATCTTAGAAAAAAAGAAAAGAAAAATGGGGGGGTGAAGCAAAGGGAAAAAATAGAAAACATTATTTTGAAGACTTGTAGCCAAGAAAAATTAGAATTTGGCCCAAACTGTAGAAAAATAGTAAAAATTGAAAACACCGGGCAAGACCAACACTACAGTTTCAAAACACAACTTTTCTCTCTCCAGTTTCCCATTTTTACTAAAGACAAATCATGGTAGGATTGGTCTGCTTTATTAAACCTGGCCTAAT